GTGCGATCTATGATAAGCCATGCAAACATCCCAAAATCATTTTGGGGTCATGCACTAATTGCTACGTGCTACACACTTAATCGTGTCCCATCTAAATCGATCTACAAAACTTCATACGAGCTATAGAGAGGGAAAAGACCAAACTTATCTCATATAAAAGTTTGGGGTTGTGATGCTTATGTAAAGCGAAATGAATCAGATAAGCTTGATGCTAAATCTGACAAATGATCTGACAAATGCGTATTTGTGGGATATCCACAAGAGACAATTGGATATCAGTTTTATAATCCCGTTGAGAAGAATGTGTTCATCTCAAGGCATGCCATATTCCTAGAGAAAGAGTTTATTCTAGGAAAGGATAGTGGGAGCAAACTAGAACTTGAAGAATTTCAAGAATCCACAGATACTGTTGACCAATTAGATGAACCTAAGTCTAATCCTACACCTATTGATGGACAGACTTTTGATCAGGATGTAGAGACTCCTGAGGACGCTCTAGTTCAGCGTAAATCAAGTAGGATCATTCGACCTCCCAGAAGGTACAAATTCACGATTACTAATCAAGTATTATTAGTCGAGGATGATAAACCTACAAATTACGCAGAAGTAAAGTCAAGTGTTGACTCGAAGAGATGGCAAGAGGCCATGGAATCGGAAACGGACTCGATGTATGAGAACAAAGTTTGGACCTTGATCGACCTTCCGGGTGGCATAATGCCGATAGGTTGTAAATGAGTTTACAAGAAAAATGTCAATGTGGATGGAAACGTCTATACATACAAAGCAAGGCTAGTAGGGAAACGTTCATACATACAAAGCAAGGTTAGTAGCGAAGGGTTAAATACAAAGACAAGGTGTTGACTTTGATGAAACTTTTTCGCCTATAGCCATGCTAAAGTCCATTCGGATTTTGCTTGTAATAGCTGCATACCATGATTATGAGATATGGCAAATGGATGTCAAAACTGCTTTCCTGAATGGAAACTTACAAAAGGAAGTATATATGACACAACCTGAAGGTTTTGAATCCAAAGAAGCCAACAAAGTATGTAAGCTAAATCGGTCCATTTATGGATTAAAGCAAGCCTCAAGGAGCTGGAATCTTCATTTTGATAAGACAATCAAAAGGTTTAATTTTATAAAAAATGATGATGAACCGTATGTTTACAAGAAAACAAATGGGAGTGCAGTTGTATTTCTAATATTATATGTTGAAGACATATTATTTATGGGAAACGATATCCCAATGCTTCAATCGGTAAAAATATGGTTGTCAAAAAAATTTTCCATGAAAGATATGGGAAAAGCAACATATATCTTGGGAATCAAGATCTATAGAGATAGATCTAAAAATATGACTAAGCTTATCTCAATCTTCATACATAGATAAAATATTGAGAAGATTTAATATGGAAGAGTCTAAGAGAGGTTTATGTCCTATGTCACATGGGGTTTACCTCTCAAAAGATATGTGTCCTAAAACACATGATGAAAGGAATCGCATGGATAAGATTCCTTATGCTTCGACGATAGGATCTATCATGTATGCGATGCTATGTACGAGACCAGATGTTTCATATGCTCTAAGTGTTACGAGCAGATTTCAAGCAAACCCTGGTGAGAAATACTGGATAGCAGTTAAGAACATTCTTACGTACTTGAGAAGGACTAAAGATGTGTTCTTGATTTATGGAAGAAATGAACTAAAGATTCATGGGTATATTGATACCAGCTTTCAATCTGACAAAGATGATAGCAAGTCTCAATCGGGATATATGTTTACTCTCAATCATGGAGTGGTTAGTTGGAAAAGTTCCAAACAAGAGACAACTGCTAATTCAACAACAGAAGTCGAGTATATTGCTGCTTTTGAAGCAGCGAAGGAAGCTGTCTAGATCAAGAAATTCATTAATGAACTGGGAGTCGTTCCTAATATTGTTCATCAGATACCTTTGTATTTTGATAATAATGGAGCCATCACACAAGCGAAGGAACCGAGGTCTCATCAACGATCCAAACATGTGCTAAGGCGATATCATCTCATCAGGGAGATTATACAAAGAAATGACGTACCGATAAAGCGAGTTCCCATAAATGACAATATTGCAGATCCATTGACAAAGCCGTTCTCACAACAGAAACATGATCGTTATGTGGACACTTATGGTATTAGACACACGAGTGATTGGATCTAATGCAAGTGGGAGTTTGTTAGTGTTATGCCATAGATCCAATCAATTTAGATTGTAAACACTTTTAATATGTTTAATATATTTAATTTTGGCAAGATCTATTATTTATTTAAATTAATTTTTTGATAAATAATATTAAATAATAGAGTCCGAAAATTCAAGTTTTAAGTGATTTGTTAATCACAAGGAGTTGTGATTGTGATATACAAATTACGTATAATTGGATCTTGAATAATCCGTGGTCGTAAATAATAACGAGATACAAATATCGTTATTACAGATAGACCATCACGTGTGGCATTTCCTACTTGTGAAGTAAGTAGCTGATCTCACAAGTTAAAGTGTGGTGACACTTAAATGAATACTTGAATGTTTTGTTATAGAACAAAATATTGGAGACCCGCTAAGAGATTTCACATGGATAACTATCTGAGTGTCAGTGGTTAATCTCTAACATTCGATGGTGGAATTGGTCCTTTGACTTGAGGTCATCATAATGCCTTGTATGAGGACAGTCATAATTTGACAGTGTTGGATGTTGCTCTACCAAGAGCCGCAATACAACATCGTTCGGGTATGTCAAGAATCATATGAAGGTTCTGACTGACCAATAGAGGATTCGTCACTCTTAAATAGTAAGAGATTGTGATATTCATTTCGTCCAATTAAGTCAATAACGAAATCATTGGTCAATGTATACACATAAGTTGAAAACGAGTTTTCGACTCATATTGACTTAATAGTAGAATGAAAAATATGATCGATAATCGAGATTGACACACTTTCATACCTCGTAATTGATCGGATCATATTGACGAAGGGATTATAGTTTCATGGTAAACGAGCAGGTTTGGTTTTGTCAAACCACGTGACATTTCTCGTCACATGTGTTGCCCTGATACATTACTAGATGTCAATATGGGATGGCGAGTGTTAATTTGTGATAAATTAAAAGGGTGTTTTAATTTATCAGTTTTGATTAGATCAAAATAATATTTCACGTCGTTAAGTATCATGGTCGGGAACCTGATAGGTCGCACACAAAAGAGAATTGGAAGATTGCAATTTGCAAATTAATTAATTTAACAATCGTTGGATAAATTAATTAATTGGGTTGATTATTTATAGCCTCGAATTAATTAATTGGATTAATTAATTCATGGACCGAATTTAATTAAATGGATTAATTAAATATTGGACCGGACCAGGCCGAACCCGTTTGAACTTATATAAATACATGGCTAGATTTTTAAATCCATACAGTTTTCATAATTCTTGCTAGCACAAAACGAGAGTTTATTTTCGCCATGAAGCCCTCCGTGGTAGATACATCAAAGTGTGTTTTCTGTAAACAGGGTGAGTTCTACAAGGAACTAGACTTTTCCACTGCATTGAATTGTGACAGGAGGCCAACGATAGTCGACCTACCTTTAGCAAAAACGAATGACACAAATCTAATAAATGATACCTTTTTGTTGTTCTAATGGGACAATCTTGCCATCTGCAATGGACCCGAGCAAGTCCATTTCAGCATTCCAGATAAATGTTTTCAAAATGCCTCCAGATCTTAATCGCTCCCTGCTTTCTCCACCACAGAATTGGGGGATCTCCGGCAGACTGAATCCTAGTTATAAATGTGGACCACCTGTCCTAGTGAGTCCCAGCCAATATCCGGACCCAAGCGGGTTATTGTCAGATTCTGCTGCAATGGCAAGCTGGCAAGTTGTCTGCAATATTACGAAACCAAAGGGAGTGGGTCCTCGATACTGCGTGTCATTTTCTGCTTATTACAATGAATCTATCATCCCATGTCCAACATGTGCCTGCGGTTTTCCTGCTAATACTAATCGCATGTTTAGTACAAAGTCTCCTGCTCTTCTTCTTCCATCTCAGGTGCTTCTCGTCCCGTTTGAGAATCGAACTACTTTGTCCACAGCTTGGGCCGATCTTCATCATTTCCCAGTGCCAAACCCTCTGCCATGTGGTGATAATTGCGGTGTAAGCATCAACTGGCATTTATTCACAGACTACAGGTGGATGGTCTGCAAGGATTACAATCTTTAACTGGGACGAAATTCCTTTTGTCGATTGGTTTACTGCAATTGAATTGGACAAAGCAGCTCCAGGTTTTGAAGCAGTCTACTCCTTCAATGGAAGTACATTGAATGGAGTCAACAACACAATTTTCATGCAAGGCCTCCCTGGCTTGAACTATCTCGTGGCAGAAACAGATGGTGCTAACCCACAGAAGGATCCCAGAGTTCCCGGAAAGCAGCAATCTGTAATTTCATTCACGAAGAAGTTGACCACAGGAGTAAATATTTCCGGTGGTGATGGATTTCCAACAAAAGTTTTCTTCAACGGGGAAGAATGTTCATTGCCCAAAGTACTTCCCAAAAGCAATTCTCATATATTCGGCTCGTCTCTTTTGACATATGTCATCTTGGCACTTGCGGTTTTCTTGGCGATGCAGAAATAGCCATTGTTTCATAGCCGTTGATTTGTTCATTCTTTTCGTCACTGATAGATAATTCCTGTTCTTAAACGATTTTACAAAGGTAAGGCGGATTTTTAAGTACTTCAATCTTTTTGTCGGTGAAAGCTGATAGGAAAATTAAGCAAATCTTGTGCATTCCTGGGATTTTCTTCTTTCGAGTGTGATTCTGATTGTATATTTATCCGCTGATAAGATGATGCTGTGCATAATTGGAATTCGTAGTGTGTGATTTTGTGGGATCTATTTATGTAGAATTATAAATACCAAGTATGAGTAATCAGCTTATCAAGAAGTAAGCATGATGAAAAAAATGAAAGAACGACAATGCTAGTTTCTTGAATTCAAATCAAATCTATACAAAGCATCCAAATTCTGGAAAATAAACATTTGTTTTATTTGAGTTAGAGCAGACACCAGATTGCAGAGAGAGATAGATTGGCACTCGCAAACGAGGAAAATTCACTAGTTCCTGAAAATGATACTGTATCTACTACAATTGCCTATTCTAAAAGCTGTCAAAATTTAGCGTATGCTTTGCACATTTCCCTACATCGTCTTCTATTGTAGCTGATCCACCAGACCGAGCATCATGCTTTGCATTATAGTTTAAAAAGAAATAAACACAGCTTGCTATTGACACCAAAATAATGCAGATAAATTCTTACTTCTGGAAGCAGACATCAAACTGAATCTTCAGCCTTTGATCAGGACTATGACTACACGAAAGTGCTAAACGCAATAAGCTACAGCAGGGAAAGGTGTTACACAGGAAGATTATCCAAGTGATATCCATCAAATCCAAACCCGCTTTCAACAGCTCCTGTGCCTTCTTGCTGCTATAATGAGAAAATGCTTGGATTAGTTAATAAATGCAATAATTTACAGGCATGTTTGGCGAAGCATATTTTTTCTCACTTTTACACAACTAAATAGACCAATAAAAGATTAATGGTTTTCAAACTTACTAATTTACATAGAACAAAACTTTATGTGTTATGAAAACAGCTCCCATTCACTTTCAATATCTAATAATACTCTTTTTCAAGGTTTAGACAAAACTTTATGTGTTATGAAAACAGCTCCCATTCACTTTCAATATCTAATAATACTTTTTGCCAAGGTTTAGAAATGAAGAGGCTTGCCTGTTTGAGAAGTGCACTCATGAGATCATCTTGACCAAACTGTTCAGAGAAGAAGGTATTCTGGAAGCCCATATTTGGCAGTCTTTCAGACTTGATCCTTTGTGAAATATCAGCCAGAGACAAGTTAAGTGGGTGACCAGGGTTTGAAGTGTTACCAATTCTTCCGTCCCCAACTGAGAAGGCTGCCTTACTAACAGACGCATTCCTGCTTTGTTCACTCTTATGGCTAGAAGAAAACCCTTGTTGAACTAAAATTGAAGGTAAAACATCTAAGCTCCCTTGTATGTTAGAATGCTGAGACACGTCAAAGGTTGATCCAACATTCTGCATACCCCAATCTTGAGTTCTATTCTGATTCAGCTCATCAGAAGTGTCATAATTAGGAAGATAACCTCTAGGCATTTTCATTTCCGAATTAACCTCTTCTTGCGGCATCCCTTTAGAAGTGAGAATCGATATACCTGAATTGCTCGTGAGAGGAAAACTGTTGCCCGGAAACTCGTCCCCCTGATTTATGGAAAACTCTAGATCTGGAGAGGGCTGTGAAACTGAACCAAGTGTTCCTCCGTGAACATTTTCAATTCCATTTCGCGGCAAGACAGAGCTAGGGAGTGCCCGCGACAACATGGGCTGACCTGGAGACGATGGAAGAGTCAAGACATGGGTGCCACTGATTTCATTTAATATTGGTGTCCTAGACTGAGATTGAGACATCTGTGTCAGTAGAGAGCCGGTTTCACTTGACTGAGAGTGGAGTTGTGTATTCAGGTTCCCGAACGATTGCGCAGATTGACGCAAAGTGGCAAGCTGCTTCAGTTCCATATTTGTAGGGATACCATGGAGCAAATTGATTTGCTTACTATTATTGTTAAGCAGTTGTGAATCCTCACCAAACCTTAACTTGGGACTTTCAAAGCTGAAAAGATTTCTTTGATCAACTAGGTGAACTGGTACAGGTGATTTGTTTGTAGCCTGACCAAAAGAAGCTGCCTGGATTGTAGCAAGGTTTTGTGGTGGAAGCTGACCTGAAGCAGCAAGAACTTGAAGATCAAGCCCATTGAGAGAAGACATTGGCCCAAAGGTTGAATCTGTAGGTCCCATAAAGGCATTATTGAGTCCACTCTGATGCTGTGATACGCCACTTAGCCTTCTTAGATAAAGACGATACTTCTGCATCAATAAGGTTGCTAAAGTTAGAAGCTTCCAAGAGAAGTGAATCACAGGTCAAAAGATGAAAACATTTACAAATAAATGACAAATATCTCAATCGAGCGTCTGATGAAGTGGAAGGAAAAACGTAGTACAACCTGAAGATGGCTTGCAACGTTCTCCCTTGTAAGCCCAGGGACATTCATTAGTTCCAGGATTTTCTTAGGAACAGCCTCTGCAATAATTCGTAGAGTTGGAACATAATGAATACGAGTTTATATGATAGCAGACTTATGCAGGAAAAGGAAAATTGCCAAAGTCAAAATTATCCTAAGAATAACATTCCCATTCTTGGTCAGAACTACACATCCACGGAACATAGATATTCGACAGTGGACGGATATCTGAAAAACAGTATTTCCAATAAGCAAAAGTAACTAGATTCTAAAGGAATTTTCCTGAGTATGAAATGTATAGAGTATCAAATAATACGAGTAACAAATAAATAGTAGTAAATTGAAGTAAAATATTTAAGATAACAAAATGGTCAGAAAAAGAATAGGTTGGAGAAGATTCATACTGTCTAGTCCAAGGTGATTAACAGCGGTGACAAACTGCTGATGGAGCTCAACCGACCAAACCACACGTGGTTTCTTCAATGTTGATGGATCATCTCTTTCTTCTGCTTCTTCTTCCTCATCCTTTCTTTTCTTTGGATTTTTCCAACTCCCCTCATTGGCTGAAGATGAATATTCAGCATCTTCAGGTGGTTTTTGCTGCTGTTCTCCATCTTCCACACTTCCTGTTTGTTCATACTCCTTTCCCTTATAATCAACCTTTTTTTTGCGAACCACATGCTGCCATATATTCTTCAGTGCCTCAATGCGAACCGGTTTGATGAGATAATCCACCGCACCATGAGTAATCCCCTTCATCACAACTTTTTTGCTATCATCCGCAGACATCACTAACAACCACACAACCAAATATCAAAGTAAAGACAAGTCTATACGAAACAGGTATTCTTGGTTTCAGGTTGAACAGAGTCCGAAAATAATGAATTGGGAAACTTACTGATAACGGGAAGGTCCATCTCGAGTCCAACATACTCAAGAAGTTTGAAACCATCCATGTCCGGCATGTGAACATCACTTATAACAATGTCATAACCATTCTTGTTCTCCCTTAGATAATTTAAGGCAAGCTCTGCCCGATTGCACTTGGTAACTGAAATTCCCCGTTAAATTAGATCAGCCTTCTAAGGAATTATGAAAAACATTTCCCAGTCCGGAGACATGCACACCCAACAATGAGAAAATATTTGAGCATAAAGATTGAAGATTTGACGGTACATCTACTAAAACAAGCATTTCTAACATTATAATTTTGGCGTGAGATCTTGCAAACCATCCGTTTTTTTTTTTTTTTAGGCTTTTCTCTACAGAAAATGAAGTTCCACAGTCTCCATATTACGCTATCACAAACTTATCTCCATTAATGGATTAAATTCTCTTTCCTCTAGTCAAGCACATATTATAAATTCAAAAAAGGAAAATCTGGACAAATTAAACAGAGAAAAATGTATTTTCACATTTAAGACCTGTTGTGTGAACAATCATACAAAACCCACACAAAAAATATATAATAATAATAATAATAATAATAATAATAATAATAATAATAATAATAATAATAATAAAAATGCAGATTTGAACTTCAAAATAACATGATTATTGCCACAAAAAAAAAAAAAAAACCCAGAACTGAACAATTCTGGGAACAAAATTTACAAACACGTATTTGTGTGTGTTTGTTAAAGGTACCTTCATAGAGGCAATTCTTGAGCATCTTCTCCAAGATCCTGAGACAAGTGGGGTCATCATCCACAACAAGTACTCTGAGACCCGCCGGAAACTGGTCGGAGACTCCATCACCGGATTTCCGAGTAACGCTTGAACTCGATACAGACATGGATTTCACTGCTTGTGAGCCGCCAAGATTCATTTTTTCTTCAATTTCCACACATATATGAACCCAGATGGAAAAACTAAACCAAGTAATCAAAAACTCTTAACTTTCTACTGCGTATAATTTCTGATTTCACCCTCCAAGAAAAAAATATTAAGGAAGAAAAGGATAATAAATGGAATTTCAAGATTTCCAACTCTTTTCAATGTTTTGCTGCAAGAAAAAGTGGGGAAAAGAGGGAAAAAATTGCTATATATATGTGGGTATATATAAGAACATAAGATTAAAAGACATCGTTTTGTGCTTATGTGCTTCCTGAACAATTTTTTTTTTTTCTTTGGGAGTTTTTTGGATTAATTCTGATTTTTTTTCATGGATAGTGGGACACTCTTTTCATTGTGGATCCAGCTCATATATGAGGTCAAATAACCCCACGCCAGCTGAAATTGAACAATGTGGCTGTACAGGCCCACAGCCTGTACAAGCCAGACATATTATAAGGGTTGGGTAATTTTTTTTTTTAAATAATCTCGCATCCCCTCACACAGTATGTGAGGGACCATGTACAAATCCTGTGAACATTAGGTATTTTTAGCTGAAATTTCATCGTGCACATAAACACAGTGGAAATTTCATTTCTTGAATGCAAGTAAATGTGAATTATTTCCATTTTCTAGGGTTTTTCTTCCAAAATGAAACGAGTTTAATTTAGAATATTGAATAAAGAAAATCTTTTAACATTAAGGATTGTAGGTTACATATTAATTTGATGAAGAGGAAATCTAAAAAGATTTCCTTTACCTTAATAAACTTTTATTAAGTTTTAAAATTTTTATGACATTTTTTAGGGATGTTTACATTGACTTATTTCAAGATTAATTTAGAAATATAATAACTTAATTTATTCTTAGAATTAATATTTTTACTTTATAGTTCGCACCCCAACCATCCCATCACCATCACCATCACCATCGCTCTCTCCCTTTATTACAATTTACAGATGAGAGGAAATAGGTAAATTCATTCGGATTAGGAGGTAGAAAAGTAGGATGATGGAAATTTGTAGGCAATACTAAAATTGGCTTTTTCTAAAATTGGCGAACATACAAAGATCTTAAAATTTCCAAACTTCTGACTATTATCTTTAGGACAATTGTATTTGTACCGAATGACATGTATCGAAAGTTATTCCCCCTTTTGCAATGCATGTGAGCCCCGCGCTAATATAAAAATCCCTAAATGTGATCGCCACCTCCTATTGTGAATAGTAAGTAGGTAAAGGATTGGACTGAAATTGAACTCTTTGTAAGCACCAGTATTTAGGCAAGTTCTTATTCCTTAACTTGTTGGGGCACATTCTGCGATTTACTTTTCTTACGATATTTCAGGGGCGAGGCGGGGCGGTGGGTGCCCTTAAGGTTGAGGTTCAACCTTTTTTTAATAAGTAGGTAAATAATTAGGTAAAAAGATAATAGGGAAGTAATAAATGAGAATATTTTACAATACATAGTATAAGCTTTAATTCTAACATTTTCTAAAGTGAGCAATGAGAGACTTTCAAGGTATGATATAAGCTTTTATCTATGAAACATTTGTACGTGAACTCTTATAATTCTTATTATTGTAATATGTGTAACTATAAACAGATGAGTAAAAAGACATCATAAGAATTGTCCAGCATGATTGTAGCGTATTATGTAATGAACACATGAATTACAAGATATCAAAAAAATCATCGAAACGTAACTTGTAAATCTTCTCTTATAGTAATGACCCTTACCTTCACTGTATTCCCCCCCGCCCCCGCCCCCCCCCCTTCCCTCCACCCTTCAAATTCATTTTCAATCACACATTTTTTAATAAAATAATTTTACACGTAATTCATAAAAATATCAACACATACTATTGAAAACTCGTTACACTAATTAGTAAATTTTACCATCCATTTTTAAAATCTCTAGTGCATATATATTTTCTTTGTTGCACTTTATCAGTAGGGATGGAAAACTTCTTTGCCCTCGATCTCCACATTACCTTGCCCATAATGGTAAATTGACGGGGATGGGAAACAAGACTTCCCTTGAATTCTATGAACTAGTTCGATTTTTTTATTTTTTTTTATTTTAAGTTTTATGTTTTGCAATTTAAATTGTATTTAAAAGAATAAAAAATAAATAGTTAATTAATCGGGATAGTAAATAGTGATATTTAATCCATATCCAACCCCTCCTTGAAAATTTTTGACTGGATATGAACGAGGATAATCGTCACGTTCCCATTGTCATCCCTATTTAATATTTATTAATTCCGTAAATAATTTAATTGTAGTGGTATCCAAAATATTTCATAAAGCAAGTCCTTGGTACCATTGCACTTGGAGAATTGCTTAACAAATACTTTCAGGTAAAATAAAATAATCAAGAATTATATGCATGGTTACTCTTAATGAAATGAAGGAGCAAAATTGATTGCAAAGACGGTACGAAGTTTTATTGTATTGATCTTATAGCCAGTTTATGTATTAACAATATATACGTAGTCACTAATTAATCTTAAAATTAGAAATAAGAAAGGTTAGTGATATTTTTGAAATGTGAAGGAGTGTCTATTTTACTAATTCTTTATTTGTTGTTGCGGCTATGTCAAAGAGTGAATTTGAATAAATAAATGTGTATAATCACTAGAAATTTAAGTAATTAGACTATTGTTTGATATAAAATCAAAGTATGATGTATACATCTATTTGTGAAAAATTGAGCAATACGTCACATATGTTGAGATAATAAATATTCCTTGCAAGAACAATATAAGGGGGCCATACACCTCAAAAATAACACTTCCGTTATTGTAAGAAATAACAATATCAATACATATAAGGCACATTTAGTATGTTTTCTCTTGTTGTCGATCGTGGTCAAGATATTTCTACTCAACCGATGATTCCATGAAGTCATATTTAGCTTATAATTGTTTAGGGTCTATTTTGTTTGAATTTCAGTTTTGAGTTTTGAGTTTATTTTCAATTTTATGTTTTGATAATCTGTTTTAAGATTTCTAAAAATGCATTTGATTTGTCATTTTGAAAAATTATTTCTCAAAATAGAAAACTAGAAAACAAGTTTTGTTATAGATTTTGAAAAATTGATTATTCAGTAAAAAATTAAAATAGAATAATTTTATGTTAATATATTATCATGTAGTACTATATTTTAAAGTTGATGAATCTTCCAGTATTTTCCTGAGTACAAAAATAAAATGAAAATAAATAATAAATTGAATTTAAAATATATGAAATTAAAATAAAATTTAATTATGTGAATCGGGAATATTTTTATTAGTATTTGCGTAAATAGATTTTTTGAATGTGTATAAATAATCATTAAGAGATTGAACAATTTGTTATTTTTTTGTAATTTTTATTTTTTAGAATTTTTTAGAATTTATAAATTTTAAATTAATTTTTCTTGATTTTTGTTTTATTTTATATTTTATTTTTAAAAATTTTTTATTTTTAAAATTCTGTTTAAACAAATTTTTATTTAAAACTTGTTTTCCATCTTTTAAGTTTTTTTTCCCCAAAATTTTTATAATGAACACTCAAAACGTCAAAATACGTTTTGAATTTTATGTTACAAGTTTATCCTTGTTTTTAAAAGTGCATTTTCAAAAATATCAGATCAGACACATTTTTAATATTTTGTAAAATTGAAAATAGTGTGAAAACGGCAAACTAAACACATCCTTATTTTCTCGGATTTTGACGTTTGTTCCTCAACATATGGAGCTAGAGATTGTGGGGTAAATCTCTGTCTTTTGAAGATAGTGGAAAGTTGCTTTGTGTTGATCAAAACTTATCCAAAATGGATAGTATAATGAGGAATAAAATTGGGTTGGCAACTTTAACCTCGGCAATTTTTTTGTTATCTTCCTTAGTTTAATGAACTCATCTTTATGAAAATTTAGTGTAATCCCACTAAGTAAACAAGAAGCAACCAACCCCATTTTCTTTAGAATTGGGGACGATTTAGTTATTTTTCCATTAAACAATCCATTAACTTTCCTCGTAAGTATGAGGTTTCTTTAAAATATGTCCAAATACTTGAATTATCAATCTTGTTGATGTGTATTTACTTTTATTATCTTCTATATTCTAGCATCCTTTTCGTTTAACAATTCAACACTTGGCGTCATAATTATGTGTCGGAAATCCAATAATTATTTTTTTAAACTTAAATTTTAACCACATATTATGCTCCCGTTTGGCTTCCATTTTTTGGAAATGAAAATAGACAGAATAGTGTTTTTTTGAAAAATGAGTAATTGAAAAAGAAGGGAAAGTTTTCGATTTATATATAATATTATTTTATGAATGATCGTGTGATTGAAAATAGGAAAGAGAAAAATAAAATGTAATAAGATTCAAACGGGGGCAATATGTCCATGTTGGATAGCATTCTTTTAAAACTCTATTTTTCTCTTACTCATATTCAACAACTCATTCTCGTAATACAATATTATTTATGCAAACCAATTTTTGTCTTCTAATTTTTAACCACACATTCTCCAAATTTTTCTCTCGAGTTTCAACTATAAAAAGGATTAACATCTTTTCCTTTTCAAGTACAATAACTAAAGCATTTTAATCAGTTACATAATTATTTCTTCATTTTCATATATTATTTTACAATTTTCCCTTATGTCTCTTTCCTGAAAAAATATCGCAGACTTATATTCCCCATTGTAACGTGAGCAATGATGTAATCCAGAATAAGGTTTTTAAATGAATAATAAAATCATTAATCCACTATGATAACTGTATGAAGAACTACTTCTCTCTTCAATTTCAGGTCTCGTATTTTTTTATTAGAAGCCCGTAAAAGTAAGACGTGCAAACAAAGTTGTTATTAAATAAGAGCAATGTTACACGTACAGAGTTTTCTTCACAGAAGTTTCACAAAATTTCACCTGGCGTAGTCTAATTGGCAGTTGGCAAAAAAGAAAGAAAAAACAGTATACAAATCTAACAGTACATGTAAAGAAAACCCTATACGCTTAGCTTATTTCATTAAATAACTCTCATATTTTATAAATTGTTTCTTAAGAAATTGTACAATAAATACAGCTTTAGTGATATAAAATAGCAGGAGCAATCAGACTTTTCTCATTGGTATCGAAATTGGACATTGGTCCTATCTTGTTAGCTCCAATTTGTCACGCTTTGATCAATCTCTCTAACCAGCTTGAATTGTCATATCCTATTTCCTAATCCTATTCGATTTAGTTAAAAATTAAAATTTTAATAAATTTTGATAAAAAAAATTGATAACATATGGGACGTTTGTTTCTCATTTTTGTAAAAATGAGAATGAAAAATATAA